GTACAAATGAAATAGTATTTTGTTGAGTGTTTATACAAATTTATGATGCATTTATTCAGATTACTGTCATTTAGCTGGTTTAAAACAGAAAATCAACATTTAGCAACTATGATAGGTGTAAAAGTATCGACACATTTTGTGATTTTCTAATTGTCGTAAAATGAATACTCACGAATCATCTTTTTTTCATTGGGGGAATTCTTGGTTGTCATTATTTACCTGAAACAAAACCAACGCATTAATAAACAGTAATTTTAAAAATTATCAGTGAAGGAAGCAAATAAACCTGTAAAATTGAAAAAGAACTATTTTCAGGAAAGATGAGTATTGAAAAAAACACCTGGAGAATAATATTTCTTACCAATATATTGGCAATATAAATAAAAATGTTATCCTCATTAAACTGAATAAATGGGATTGAGTTTCAATTTCAGGGATGAAATTTAAGATATTCACTCTGGCCGTAATGAATCAAATTAAGTCATGCAGAAGTTTGGAATATGCTGGAATAATCAGGAAACTAACCAACTAAGTTGGCATCATCAAGCATGATCTGATTGAATACCGATGACGCTTCGAGGATGGAGTGCTTGGCCAATGATACATTCAATGATTTTCTTATATTTTATTGAGATTGGTTAACAAAATATAAACATTCTCTCATGAAATGAAAAAAAAACAAGTTATTGTTATTCAAATAAATTCTGAAATTATATTTTATTACTTACACATAGCTACAACTTCAGGATAGGAGTGTTTCATAAATCAAAGAGAATAACATTCACTATATCTACTTTGTACTTCTACAGTAAATACAGAAAATAGGGGATTTTTCATGAAAAAAAAATACATCAATGATAACTCTCAACAAAGATGTGCTGAGTTGATTAACACGAAAAACACTCCTTTCCGTTCAACTATCTACGTTCATGATTATTTTTTTGGCAATAATTATTGTCACGAAGCAGATTTATCTCTTCCGAAGTGAAGTATTCACAATGATAGTAACATACTGTATTCATTACTCGTATGCGACATATATTATCATCCATTGATATTATGTTGAGATCGGAAAGTTCAGGGATTTAATTTAAGATGGATAACCTGTAGCTCATTCAACAAAAAGTCATCACCCGAAGACTATTGTGGATAATAACAATCGAAACGTTGGGACGTAACTTGTCTTGAAATCTTCTGATTTTAAAAATTTTTTTATTTTTCAATTGTTGCTTGTATTTTATTTCATTTCAGGGTCACCAGGTTCCAGTGTTTACACTTATCTCAACTCATAAAGAGAAATCTTATGTTTCTTTAGAATTCGTTGAATAGCAGAAGATGAAACAGCTATTTTTCTAGATAAATCTCTGATGGAATGATTTGGATTTACTTCAAAGTAGTTTAATTCTAAATAGCTCAGTGATGTCGAGCACAATCTTTGCTTTTTGCTGTTAGTAACAAAATATTGTCATTCATATAAGTACCAAGTTTGGATGTTTGAACAATCATGAGGTTTCATTTGCCAAAACAAAGCAATGTTTTGTACAATAGTGAAATAAATAATAATTTCCAGATAAGTCGCTCATTTTCGACTTTAGGAAGAAAGGTGATATGAGCTTTATTGTTGAGAATATTATTACAAATCGAAATTCATGATAAAATATAGTGTTTGTTCCATTAAAAAAATATCATGTTATGAAATATTTTGAAAATGCCACTGTCATTTTTTTTTGTTTTCGGCATCCTGAAGGTCATTAAAGATGCTACTAGTTTGCCCGTTCAACGATATTCGTAGCATCAATAATAACGGAGTTTGCAATGGTGCCGTCTTAATTTGGAACACCCTGTATTTTGTTGTGAATATCTGTTTTAAAATCTGTTTTTCCGTTAATCAGCTGTCGGATGAATTTACATAATCACTACACAAATACTTACTGGCACGTAATTCAAATGAATGATCTTTCATGGTTGTCCTTAGAGGCCCAGATCAAAATAAAATACTTCACAATTAGCTACACTATTACTCCGAGATATACAATCGGTAGATACCTACCATGATAAATACAATATACATTGAAAACGAAGACAGCCACATGTTAAGAGGCTTGCATTCCTTTCATCGACGTCTCCAAATCAACAGGAAAAATCAATAATCAGAATTCGGGGTCATGTTTCCAAATCCTGGGCACAGTTTTAGTTCCACACAAAAGCCACAAATATTCAGAGAAAATATTCATTTTTTAAAAACTTCTTAGGTATGTTCTTCAAAGTATGTTCTGAAGAGTCAAGGACTTTCCGGAATTCTATACTAATCACTCTTGTTGCCCCAACAAATGATTCTGTCGAAAAAATGTGTTTGTATGCTACTACCTCTGCGCGGTTTCTGAAGACGTTGCTGAATTCAGGTCCCCGAAATGTTAAGATGAGTACGTATGGAATTATTACCTCCTTTTTCAGTAGGCAACTTTATTACATACAAAAAGTTACTGAAAAAGAGAGCATTTTTCTTTGGTTGAAATATATTGATTTTACGCTAGAAATTTATACTTTCTACACCTGTATATAGTTCTCCGTTACTAATTTCAATGTTTTCAGACTGTGGAGCATAAATTGTCTCAGTAAAGACCGACAAACATATTGTTATTTTTTATTTTTATATTTATTTTCATTATCAGCGACAGCTGGTTAACGTAAAAACAGATTTTAACAGATAACAGATCAAAATCTGGTACAATGTATATTATTTCACAAATGTACCAACGTATTTCTATTGCAATTCTAATGAAATTATTCTCATTAGCATTTCTTACTTTTATCTGAATTCAGATGAGTGATTCTGAAGCTCAATAATTTGGTTTCTCATCAAGCCAATATTATTCTAACTTTGTTTAGTGTCACTCGATAGTTGAATTGAATTATCCTAAGCCATGCAGCGGCATGGCAACCAAACTCCGTCAGCTTCATTGGGTCCACTAGTTAATTAATTTGTTCTGGACATCTGGTAGGAAAACTTAGTCACAAAAGATCTGCACCCGCAAGCTTTTAAGCCGTCGGCTAAGGAAGGGTCGATAATCTGACAATTGCCGGTAGGTCATGTAAACTCACTCGAGATTATGGAAAAGTTATTCCTGGTCGAGGAGCAATTGATAATTAGTTTGCAGAGTTAGGGTTAGTGAGTTACTAGTGCGGGTATCTACGTGAGTTTATTGAAGGTGATGAGATGAATATCAGATTATCGTGGAGTTGTCGGTGGAGAGTTTCAACAAGTCGTACACCTACAAAGTCAAACGCGAAATCAAATATAGCAACAAACTGCTGTGAACTAAGTTCAACTTTATTATTCTCAAAAAGCTTGGCGGCTGTCTCATCGATTCGTTCTGTATTTTCATCAATTCAACTCGAAATTGATCTGAAAAAGAAAACATCTTTTTAATGTATTGTTCTATAGTAACGAATGTTGTGTGATGAAATTCATGGATTATTGGAATTATTGAAATTATTTAGGCAACACTTCATTATGAGACTTCCACTGGGTAATTTACAAAACTGCAATACGTGTTTTGGTATACGGAAGCTTTGTCAAGCATTTTCATACAGTATAAAAGAGTTTGAGAAACGCTCAGTGCACTTATCCCGTTCACCCTTTCATTTTTGCAGGATTCTGTTTCCTGTACTTGTTTATATAGTTTTTTTGTACAACTGTCATTAAAAGTGACATTTTTATGGGTTGTCAAGAGTATCAAAAGATGATGTTTACAAAGTAACGTGTTAAAAATACACTAGTGTTAAACACTAGTGTTTAACACTAGTGTATTTTTAACACGTTACTTTGTAAACATCATCTTTTGATACTCTTGACAACCCATAAAAATGTCACTTTTAATGACAGTTGTACAAAAAAACTATATAAACAAGTACAGGAAACAGAATCCTGCAAAAATGAAAGGGTGAACGGGATAAGTGCACTGAGCGTTTCTCAAACTCTTTTATACTGTATGAAAATGCTTGACAAAGCTTCCGTATACCAAAACACGTATTGCAGTTTTGTAAATTACCCAGTGGAAGTCTCATAATGAAGTGTTGCCTAAATAATTTCAATAATTCCAATAATCCATGAATTTCATCACACAACATTCGTTATTATAGAACAATACATTAAAAAGATGTTTTCTTTTTCAGATCAATTTCGAGTTGAATTGATGAAAATACAGAACGAATCGATGAGACAGCCGCCAAGCTTTTTGAGAATTCTGGGTTGGCACTCCAACAATACAAAAAGAACGACCTATTTTCGTTTTTGTATTTGGAATTTGAACAGCCAATGATTTATCTATCAATTTACTGTCTTCTATTGATAAATGGCTTAGCTCTTCACGCCGGCAGGCTCCATATATTCCGAAAATAGTAGCAACTCTTATCATAAAATATTTTTTATCTGGCGCCTCATTTATAAACCTCTGCACTTGTTCAAACGTAAGAGTTTTTGATTTTTTGGGCCTGTAACTTTCATATTTCTGCTTCAAGAATGCTATTACCTTGAAATATTTGCTTGTATTAACACCATTTTCAACGAGCTCATTCACCTTTATCATTGAAAACTTGCTCCACAAAGTTAACGAGTTCCATATATTTGATTTCTCTTCTAGATTGACTAAGAAGATGATTTCGCTGAAATTTCCTTTGACGTTTTTAAGTCTACACCAGCTAAGAAAATAAGAATATGCGATGTCGAAATGCTGATCAGATTTTTTAGGTAACAATTCAATTGAAGCTCTTTTTGCAGCTTCTCCAATATCGTCAGGATCTCACAATTACTCACTCTTGTTCTTCATAATGCAAGACATTGAACACCAGCAATAATTTTGAATGTGATAATATGAAAATCAGCAACTGACAAGAGATGGCGAAATGTGTTTTTATAGAAATATTAAATTTATCTATTTTATTATGAAAACAGTGCCTAACATTCGCATAAAACAGAATGAGCTTCCTTTGTTCTTTTGTTGCACTGTCTGCAGCTGAAGTAAACAGTCTTATTTTGTTCAGGTGCCCTCTCAATAAGCGATATCGAGGAAGTAATCCTGTAATTTTTTTCCAGCCGATCCATGCACAATTTTGGTACTGCCACGACCGGTTTAAGAGCAATTGCTTATTCATTCATTAGTTTATCTTTGCGTGTGCTTCTTCAATATCCAGGCACTATGTGCATGTGACTGACATTTTTGTTCTTTCTTTCTACACGTACCAGCTATCCCATAAATTATTAAAACCTGAAAATAAATCATATCCTACAATCATATCCAACAATCGTAATATTCTGTTGAAATTACCTTTGGTGCTAGATATGTTCATTAGCTGTTTTCCAAAAGAATTTGTTGATCTGTCCGCTATTTTAAACTTTTGATTTCTTCACTTTATACCCAACATTCTTCCATTTGAGGAACGCGATAACCTCTGGAAAAGTGGCTATGTTCACATTTTTCTTCACTGAAATGGTACTTTTCAACATAGAGTACATTTTCCACAAGGTAGAGGGCTTGACTGTTTCAGATTTTTGCGCCTCTGTAATAGTTTCGCATTTCTCTATTATCCATCCATACCGATGGATGGATAATAGAGGCAATTCTTTTGCTGTAGCAGCAGCTGTTGCATGGGAAATTTCGTACGGTACATTTTTGAACTCTATATCGCTGATGCTCTCCATAGTTCATTGCGATAATTGCGAACAAAAACCATGCAAACTTTCAATAATGAAAATGTCAACTAACTTCATGTCATAGCTGTCAGTCTTTATTTCGCTGCTATGGTAATGATCAACTGCTTTCAATAAAACCATATCTACCAAGATTTTAATATTTACAATGACAACAACGATGTGATTCTTCCAGATGTGTGACTGCAACTTTCTCAAAGAGAAAGTGTTTGGGAAATCGATACTTTCCGGACGGTTACCGAAAAAAGTTTATGTTCGTTCAATTTATGGAAAAACTCATTAAAATTGTTGGCAGAATTTTTGAGATTAGTAAATCGGATTTCATGGGATATTTCCAACCTTTCGAAAGAAAAAAGGCAAGAAGATTTATGTTCAAATTTTCAGGTAAAACAAAATATATTATAGCAACTGATATTATCAGTTATTTATCAGATTCGTCCACCGCTGGCAGAATTTTTCGAATCTATTTATATAATCACGAGAAAAATATTCGAAAATATTCAATACTTATAATTCATAATGTTATTGTTGGATAACTTCAATAAAGCAAAACATTTTTGTTATATACATTGGTTTCAGTGAAACATAATTCAAATCACCTCCTAAAAGAACAATTCGTTCAGCCAATCTCAACCCACCTACACTGTAGGTTAAATGACTGACACTTATCAGAAAACAACTACTTGGAACACCCTTGCAGACCGGTTCCGGGCTCTTTGGCCACTCGTATCATTCCTGGAACTAAGGCCGAAGCAAACGACAAACAACATGTTTGCCATCGCCCTATCTTCCCATGATCCTGGTATTAGCCAGGGGAGTAATTGTTCACCGATAAGTCCATACCTACAGTGTAGGTAAGTTGAGACGAGCTTGAATGAATTGTTCTTTCAGATAACTTGATCAACAGCCAGTCTCCAAGTATGCCTGCTCACTTTATGTGATATTTTCTTCCTTACACGAGAAATTGAGCAAATTCGGATAGGCGATTGGTGACCTCGTTCATGGGCAGATGGGGCGATGACAAACATGTTGTTTGTCGTTCGCTTCAGCTTGAAAGGAATTCCATTTTCAACTTCATGTTGATAATACTACCTTCCACTGACGAGTGACCAAACAACTCGAAGCCGGTCTGCAAGTGTGTTTCAATAATTGAAAATTGATTCCGGCAGTTGTATCGCCAACAGCATAATATGCTGTTGGCGATGCATATTATGCAGGAATAACTTCAGTGAAGAATCCTGCACTGACAACTGTCGGCAACGTCCTTCATGGCACTAGCCAGAGGAGTAGTTATTTTCTGATAGGAATCAACCCATTAACCTACAGTGTAGATGAGTTAAGACTGGCCTGAACGAATTGTTCTTTCTGATGATTTGATTTACAGCCAGTCTCCTAGTAAGCCCACCCACTTCATGTGAAACATAATTCGCTGAGATAAATACGGACTATCATAAGCATAATAAAGACACGTGGAGGTCATGTTTGCGAACCCCGTCTCTTTTTCTACTGGAGAAATTGAAATTGCCATTTTGTTTATCCTTCCGCCATTAAGAAAAACATCTATACTCATTATTCGCAAAATAAATGAGGTTTAGGTATTCAGGAAACTTTCAACTCCGCTGTTTTTGACATCAAATGGCCGATAAAAAACCCTCTCAGCAAGTTCTGTTCAGCGGTATTGAACCGATTTTTCATTTAAAATCTCATGAGCTGCGATGTAAATTCTTCATCGATCTGCCTTACTGCGGAAAAACGTCATAAACTTTTATTAAGGGAACATAACGAGGTTATCTCTTATTAAATCCCAGGACACAACAGGTATGCTGTTGCTGTGTACACGTTTAATTGAACGCCTACGCCATGAGTTTGGTGAAATGTTCATTCATATATCACTTTTGTTTTCTCTTTATGGTACCCATTTTTGTTAACACAGGTGCTTTTGAAACCGCGGTTGCATGCTTCGAGCATTAGAAACGCAATATAAAGAGAAATTTTTGTTTGTATTTGCTCCACTCAATATTTCATTTCATTGTATTGAACAAAAGTCCCAATTATGAATACACTGACTCGTTACTTTATGGAAATAACTACATCCATGATAATAATTTTATACAAATTTTCATATTAATAGGCGCAATTCGCTAGCTTCAGTTCATACCTATCCAACTGATGAAGCTACAGTGTAGCGAAATGCGTTCCAATCAAAATTCATTGTGAAAACTGTATAATTAATACCATGATGAATGTCCCATTATTTTACATTGTATCACATTTGACTTTATTCACCCCATTTTGCCACCTACCATACGTATTCAGTGTGTATCAACCAAACCTTTTCATATAGGGTGTGACATATAACAGTAATTATTAATAACTTCTTTATTTCAATTGCAACTTCTTGTAAATTTTAAAATTTTTGGATTCTTCAGAATATTCAAAGCAAAACTTTTACAAAATGTTCATCTGAATATATCTATCTTCAATTGTTTAGGAATTGGAACGGAAATATCAAGTCTCTGAGACGAGACATTATTTGTCTTTGTCCAAAACTGGACACAGGCATTAATTCAAATCTTCTGAAAATTATGAACAGACGATTTTTTACAGTTGAAAGAGGATTATTATCAAGTGGAATTCAGAATGGCAATCTTTGACAACCAATTCTGAACAATTTTGCTACATTTATTTTTGAATGGAATATAACTCATTAATTTTCTGATAAAAAATCATTCTTTAGTATACCTTGTTTCTGAAGCAGAAGCTGAATTATTGAAACATTTCTTTCCCAAAAATAAATCTCTTCTAAAAATATATCCCTGTCAATTTGATCGAGACAATATTTAAAAATAGCCTCTTTCTGAACTTTGATCTGCAAGAAACATCTGAAATTCATGACATTTTTGAAACTCCAATATCTTCACAAAGTACTTATTTTTACCAGAAATAAATTCAAACTTTGCACATTTTTCAGGGATCATGTATTCACAGTAAGTCGCAACTATGTGATGGATATAATAAACATTTTACATTTTGCTACCGGTAAAAGTTTTTCCTTGGCGCTGGTTATCTTGATATTGAATTTATATTATATCATCTCTCCATCGATACCGAAATAACACTTTCGTGTCATGATATCAAATAATTCTGTCCCTAATCATAATTGAAGGGACAGAACATCACTAATGAATAACAAGCACTTTTTCTTCTCAAATTTTTTCACATCATAGCATAATTCAACTGGGTGAAATTTAAAATTATTGTCTATTCTCATTATTTCTTCATTGAATACATAATTTTTGAAATGCTTCATTGCTAGAAAATAAAATATTTTGGCAAAGCTTACCAACATAAATTCAACTCGCTACTATACTACTATGCATTCACCAAAATTCATAAGCGACTTCGCCAAAATATTTATTTTAATACGGAAAACGAACGATGTGCTGTGAAATAATTATAATAATAAAGAGCGAGTTATTCTATGTCTCGTTCAATTTGAATCGAGAAACGATGACATAGGTGGTATCAAAAAAATAATACTCCATAAATTCCACAGCAAATTCAAATTGGAATGAACGGTTGGTTAATAAACTGCACGTACTATATTATTCTCGACACATGAGCATTGTACTGAACACTAAAAGCAAGGTATAGTGTGATAACATTCAAATTGCATATAAAACACTTTTATGTCTTTTTACAAGTGAACTACGAACTGAAATATACGTTAACAGAACTCATGAACAGGGGTGAAACGAGAAAGTTCTTACGACCAAATCTTCCACCTGAAACACATTTGTTATACTTTCATTATAAGAACTTCTATTATACTCGTATAACTAACTGATCAGGTTTTTAATTGTTTACAAAAGTCACAAGAATCCATAGACGCAGATGTATTCATAAGAATTATGAATATAATTTCAGTGAAGGTTGGCAGTCTTGGTAGGACTGGTTGAATGTATTATGAAAAATTCAGAGTTTTGAATTTTCAAAATTCATGGTAAAAAGTGATTGATAATGAAATATCCATTCGAAATATTTTGAAAGTTGCTCGAAATTTTTCAAAACATTCAAAAAATGTCGAGGTTAGATCAGATATTAATTAGTTTACTAAATTCTTTCAGAAATGTCAGCAAAGTAAAATTCATAAAAAACATCTTAAAAAAATATTTACTGTGATGAACCACTCTGTTATCAATATTTTATATTTCATAAATTTTTATTCAAGCGAATCAGTTGATTTTCTTTGTTTTTTTCTATATTAATTTTTTCTCTAGTATAAACATTGTATGCTACTCAAGAAATGAATTATCATTATTATTATTTCATTTATTATTTTGGAATCGACTAATGAGGTCATTAGCCATTTTGTTGAAGTTGCTTTCAGAAAGTTCATAGATTTGGTACCGGGACAAGATCTGATATTTTTTGGTGAGTTATATCGTTGTCGATCAGCTTTATATTGGTGGCATTCTAAGAGGTGTTTGACCGTCATCAAAATTTGGCAATCTCCATAGCAATGTTGTCTTTGTCTTCCCAGTATATAAGAGGATGTGAAATTCGTATAACATATTCTAAGTCGTGATATTATGACTTGTTTTCTCCTCGTTAGCCCTTGCGGGAGTCTCACGGCTGCAATATGTATTGAGTATTAGATGTCTTGTGAATTTTTTTGTGTCATTTGGACTGGAGACGAATTTTATCAATGTTATGATTTTTTGTACTAGCGGGTGTTTACTGAAAGATTTTTTATTGCTTGTATAGAACTCGGCGAGTTGTTATTGTTGTTTCGAATATAAACTCATTACATTATATGTCTATTACTTATATGTAGTGTTCTGGAGGTATTTATAATTTGTTTTAACTTATTTTATAACAGAAATTGCACTAGTCGTGAAATAATACATTCATTCATCGAGCGGGAAGTTATTACTCGTGAGAAAGAAGTTCGAGCGAATAATGACCATTTCTCGCAAATAAAATA